CGGCATGGCCAATCCCTGAATACCTCGGCTCTCGTCCTCGAATTCCTCGTCCTCGTTCGATATGGTCCCTTGAAGAACCCACGTTTCACCCGCGGTTCCCGGCTGAAAATCGTGCCACGCCCTTGTCCCGGGAATATCATCCGGAATCGTGATGTGCCTGATGGTGAAACGATCGTTCTTCTTCTGCTGTTCCACGTTCTTCACGAATAACGCGGCCAACGCGTCAGTGGTGGGGAATCTTATCACGCAACAATTCCCCTTCTTTCTCTCAGAATCTTCCGCCTTTGCGCCTCTTGCCACCTTCTCCTCTCGTATCCTGGTTCCTATGGAATCGCACTGGCGAGGATCGAACATGTAGAAGTAATCGTCCTGGCTCCATATCGCGACAGACATGGAGGAAGACTCGATCACCCCCTCGGTGTTAACCAGGAAGAATTCCTCCAACGCTTGCTTCAGATTCAATACCGTTGGAATTTTGGACGAGAGGGTGCCAGTTACAGTGATTAGATCCACGTCTATGACTATCTTCCTACCCTCCACATCGATTTTCGTGTCGTTCAAATCGGGGGCGGTCATGTTCTTCATCATCGGCTTGGCGGACTTCACCTCGGCGTACACGGTATCCCCCAACGCCAATATTTCGTCCAATTTCGGCCTCAACCAAGTTTTCACAGGATGGACCTTTTTCATCGCGATAGCCATCACGCAATTGGCAACATTTTGGGCCCCTTTCCCCTTGTACATCTCGCTGTGCTCGTGGGTCAAGCCGTGAAGGATCGCCATGTTGCCGGGAAGCTCCCTGAACGTGGACGGCACGTTCACGTGCATATCCTCGTATGTGTAACCGGTGTCGAATTTGTTCTGATCGACCAATGGATCGGTGGCGAAACGTTTGTCGATGCTGAAATTCGAGATGGTGATCGCCAACGGTTCCTTGTGAATCTTGGCCTGCATGATGGTTTTTATTTTGTCCCCCTTCGGCACCGGTTTCGTACAGTCCATCTTGTTCTCGTCGATGTCGACGGGGTTGATGGATCTCAGCACGTTTCTGTCCACGTGCAGCCGCGTTGGGCTTGGTAAACGATCAAAGTATCCGCGGCCCACCTCGTTCACCCTCAACACCGTCACCTTGTCGATACAATATCTGGAATCGTATTTCGGGTCCATGTTCTTGAGAAAGTGATCGCGGATGTCGTTCAAACATTTGAATCTCATCACGCAGGCAACGCCCTCTGGATGGCGCATGCCCTCTTCGTCGCAGGGTGCAGGGTCGAAGAAGAGGAAACCGATTTCGGGGTGTCGCCACATAGCCATAGAGGTTCCTTGGGCTGTGATCACACCGGCATCGTTGTTCTTGAAGAATTTTTGCAACCCGTCGGCAAAGTCCGGGCAACCTATCGTTTCGCTGAACAGATTCCCGTAGATTCCCGTTTCCTCGACGCAAACTAAAATTTTGTAATTGGCGATGTAGAATTCTGGATGGACCAGGCTGCTCTTCATGTACTCGTTCTCTTTCACTTGATTCCTCGTCACGCTTGTGCGGAACACTTTGTCGCCGTATTCTAATATTTGATCCACGTATTCTTTCATCCATTCCTTCGGCTCAAAGAGACGACCGTAGACGATTGCTACGATCGATGCAGGGGCGGCTTGTCGGCCACGGCTTCTGTATTTGAAGTGTTTATCGGTCATCGCGTACGAGCCGCGAAGAATAGCCGAATTCGGTGTTAAAACGCGGAATCGATGCCATCGTTTCCCTAATTCGTATCGCTTTTTCTTCCTAGGTTGGGCATCACCCTCGCCAGATGTACCTGGAACACCTGCGATGCCCGTTTTTCTCTCTGCATCCGTCATGTTGATTTTTTTGGATTTACGTTATTACTTGGAAAAACAATCTTTATCTTATTTTTCGTAAAAAATATTTACTATATATATATATATATAGTACTTCTATGAACAAGCTCTCTACGTTTTAGTTAACCAATTCATGATTAAAAATCGAAAAAGAATGGTACTTGCCTGTACCAATTTAAATAAAAAAATCGATTTCAATATGAATTTCGAAGAATACTCATCTTTAACGAATCAAGGTGTATCGACGAACGTGGAAGGTTTTTTGTAAACTTTTACTTGCAAATTTTCCTTATACATGTCTGAAAAATATCGTAGATTACTATCACGAAGATTGTCAATGATGAAATGGGACGAGAATCAAAGTTGATATCGATATAATAACGTGAAATTGAATTTTCAAAGTATATAGGGGTTAAAAGATAAAAGATCAAGGGATAATTTATTATTTTTTTATTATAATCTTCTTTAACTATTCGACAATCTCAAAAATATCTTTTCGACGTAAGTTTCAACAAATATGATTTATATGTCACTCGTAAATATAAAATTTATGTATATAACATATTATATACATACCTGGTAAATATGTATGTAAGTATATATTTGATGTATAAAGATATTATATTAACAAAAATCATAAAAAATTATGAAATTAAGATATCCGGATTAAATGTGTTAAATTTGATGCAGAAAAATAAATAAATGAATATATAGATTAAATATTCCATTTATTATGAAAATTGAAAATAATTCAACTTGTCAGATAAATATTTTTTGCAATAAAATTTTATTTATAAATAGAATGAGAAAAGTAGATAAATCTGTTATAATAATTCTGATCGTAGTAATAATTTTTTTTTTTTTTTACCAAATAATAAAATATAATGATACCTTTAATTTATATACGCACAAAGAAAAATTATTTATTTAAAAAAAAAACACGTGATAAATGTATTTTCGATCAAAATTAAATATAGTAAAAAAATGCAAAAAAGTAACAGTTGCAAAGTATATACCTAAACTTTATTACATCAACATATGAAAAAACGTAATAAATATTATAAATATAGAATACAATATAAAGTAAAATTGAATACAACTTGCTTTCGTTTTACTTGATACGTAGACTCGTTTCTTTTCTTATTAAACAATTTTGAAGACTTAATAATAATAATAATAATAATAATAATAATAATAAAGATAATAAGAGTATATAATAATAATCATAATAATAATAATAATATATATATTTTTTTTTTATTATGTACATATGATCTACGGATCATGGATAACGGAAACCAAGGTTGTACGCGTATCAGACACAGTCGTTGAATAATTGCAGATAGAATACGATCGTATCGATATCTTGTATAGGCACAGAGAAAGAGAAAGAAACACGAATAAATCGCCAGTCATTGAAGAAGCCTATTTAATTATTAAAAAATTCGTTTAACGTTTCCGTTAAAACGGTTAACAAAATGTCATTTTGATTCATTTATCCTATTGAAAATATTCGGATCATAATGACAGGCAGAAGCTTTCTCTTCAGCTATTATTTTTATATTTACAACATATATTTATAATATATATATATATGCTTAACTAATA